GGAACTGCACAGGGAGAATATATATAAGAGACAGAACATAGACTGGAGTAATGAGCTGACGAGGAACAGGTGTGGATGGAAGCATCTAGAAGGAAGCCAAGAGAAAATGAAGCAAACACAAGGGGGCAACAGAGAGTAACTCAAGCACAAAACACTGCTAGAAAACAACTACAAATACAAAGAAACTAAAAATAAGCTTAACCAGAGGGCAGAACCCTGACAGATAGAACATATTGACAGGAAAAAATATATAATTTTTTATCCTGCACAAAAAGATAAAAATTTTCAAATATCTTTTTGCAATTTTGAAAGAATAACTCCCCTAAGTGGGTTGCTCAGTCAGGTAAAAGCATGTTTTAGACTCTCTATACTCCAGTATACGATTTATCGATTACTAAATTAGTTGACAATTGTTTCAATAATTGATTAATCCTATTAATTGTTTCCACCCTACAAACTATGCCACTTGAGGAGCCCTAGATAAAGCATGTTGACTGACAAGATTTTTGATATAAAATGCAAAATGACAAAGAAACAAACAGAAAAACATGAAAATGTATGTGGTGGACATAGTTACTATGAAACTAGAGCCAGCAGGCCCAAGCAGATAACTAAAGATTCAGGGTATAAAGTCCACATAGATGGTAGGTTGCTCTCTTTCCCTGCAGAACTTTAGCCCATCAACATTTAGCCCAAACACTATTGCTGAACAAAATAGGAAACAACAGACAAACTAAATTTTGTCAATAGTTAGCCTTAAATAAAATCTGTTAAGCACTGCTTTGGAAGGACTAGCACTGAGTCATCAAACTTCTGCCACAGCACAAGTTTTTAGTCAGATCTAAAAACTGCTGTGAGAATTACTCCACCACTAGGACATAAATAGCAAAAAAACAAAACAGAGGAGAGTTGGACTTTGGCACACATTGAGTGATGATGCACGGTTGGTATCCCAGGCATGTTTGAACAGATGAGATGACATCATGCAGAAACATGTTGCAAGTCAGGTAAACGTGTGGGAGGCAATTTAGCCCATATTAGTAGGGCAGTAACACGTTTATAGTGACATCTATACTTTTGAACTGAATGACTGGGTGTATCCAACATTTTAGTTTCCCTTTCATCCTGAACTGAAAGTTTATAGCCTGAAAAAAGCTTGTTGGAGAGCCACTCAAACTTTGGGAAAGCAAAAGTCCTTTTACAAAAGAAGCTAAAACTTTTGTCATTGTTCTCTAACATGACACACAATTCTAATTCCAGAAAGCCATAAAAACTTTTCCTGTTTGCTTTAGTAGAAGTACATGCAGAACACGGATGCTGTTTTAAATGATCTTCTTTTTAAATGTCTAACTGAATAATTAGATATGAAACTGTTTTTGTTTTTATTCTCGGTCATATATCTACATATCTTAAAATGATGGGCCATAGGATGAACCTAAAGGCAGGCTGGTTTATTCCCCGTGCACAGCAACAATGAACCACCAAGGTACCGTTATACAACAAGCTTTTAAGAATGAGAAATGGTATTTTAAAACATCGACCCAAACGTTTGTTTCAGCTTGCAGATGCAGAACGTTAAGATACAGACGTCTAACATGGTTTAAGCTGAAACTGGACTTGATTGAGAAATACCCTGAAGGTGCCAAGGAAAATGAGGAAATCTCTTTAATTCAGCCTTGATCATGTCTGAAAAGCAAAGAAGCAGTGGATTTAATCACTACCAGCCACTCTTTTGTCTCTACTGCTTTATCTTTCAGATTTTTAATCTCCCTTAGCCTTGTCAGAGTGTCTTTCTCCTCCTGTTCCTTTCAATGCCATTTGAAATGATAAGACACTTGCTGATTGGTGCTGCTGACAACCACACAGATTGGTCTTGCCCTTTTATCTGCCTTTAAACAACTATCCCACCCATTCAACCCCCCGCTGTGCCCTTTTTTTGTGCATTAGCGATTTTTAAGGACTCAGATCAAAACTTAGACTTTCCATATGATGGCCCCCGTTGATTGGTTAAATAGGCCAACTTTTGAAGAACTGTGGAAGATTGCATGTAAAGTTGTGTTCAATGTATTCTCAGAAGTTGGAATTTATAGTTTATAAATCTTGAGGTTTAAAAATTTGAGGTTCAAAGCTTATTATGACTTATTTGTATGTATTACGGACTGGAGGTTGCAATAATAAACAGTTTATTTGCATTTTTGATTATTTATATTTCTTTGTGCCTTCAAATGATGTTGTTGCTTCAAACTGCTAAAAGCATGTTGTTGCAGGCTTGTATAGGTAGACATACTTGTGATGCAGCAATAAGAGTTTTTGGGGATTATTTTTAACACCTTGTTTTTGTAAAGCTTTAACCTGCCAGGATTAACACTATTCAGCAACTGACGGCAATGTAGATGTTTTTTAGCAGTCACTTATTAATGACATCAGGATTAATGGACATTAACTATAAATTTGATATTTAAACAATCTTTAGCCTTTCACATTAACCATGAAATAATTCGGTAATGAAGCTATCATAAAAACCATTAGTGGTCTTGTGTATTCAACAACATGCTTTTGAAAATGTTAAAGTTCATATTTGAAAACAAGCTAACAGTGACACAAGAATTAGTTTCAGCTTGCAGATGCAATGCAGAGATATACGTACAGAGATTATCCCTGTGGAGGAACATGCTGTAAAAACTTTGAAGGATGAAGCAGAGTTTCTTTGCAAGACCTTCAGTTATCTGTAACCTGTCTAAAGCCTTGCTCCTTTGTCTTACTGAACCTGCAATACATCTCATGTCAGTCTATAAAGTTTTTTCTTAAACATTATGAAAGTTTCTCACCTATCTGTGCTTTTTCTGACTTCAGTTCAAATAGCAAACCTTCAGTCTTCTTCAGTCATTAACAACATCAACACTGATGAGTGTTTTTGTTCATTTAGCCCATTAGCTCTCAAATATGGAGTATTTTTTGACTGAAAAAAAAGAAGAAAACTGATAGTCACTTCTCATGGCTAGACAAGCCAAAGAAAGCAGAAGATTCCCAAATTGATCTGTATTCACACCAATATCAAAATCTCACGGTTTTTCTAACTTGCAGCCGGAACACGATTAGATTAGCTGCGCTATCATCCTATGATGTGAGTCACAGGGAAAACGGAGGGCCCTATTAAACATTTTATGAGAGAGCATAATGATCAGGATGGTAGCCCAGAGGGTGAAAATCAAGCTTTCTTCTAAAACATGCAATAAAAAAAACCTGCTGACCAGTACTACCGGCACGTTTCGGTCCTATGACATTTATCATTGCTCCACATCCTTTACGAGAAAGTTTTCTTTGAAACTTGGGATGTGTGCTTGTAAACAGACCTTCATGAGAGTAATTACCATCACAGGAGCCAAATTAAACCGGAGGTGAGTAACACTTCCTGGATGGCAGGTCTACCTCTGTTCTTCAGTTTGACAGAAAGAGGAGCCACCTCAGCAGCTCCCGCTGTGGATCGCATGCACAGCGGCATGCTTAGCAGCACTGGCTGTATGAAGTCAAATAGATCTGCTATGGCTAGAAGTAATGAGGCAGCTCTGTATTTCACAGGATTTTGTTGACTCGTAGAATTGGAATATGAGCTGTGTGGTTAAACTGACTGGCCTTACTTGAAATCTTAATTTGAACACAGGGTGCTTATTTGAGGCTGTGTTGCAAGATGCAGCTGCAACCACGGCTCCTAAAGCAATAACAACTGAGCAAATATGTCAAACTATTGCTTAATACAATCCATGCATGTTTTTGACTTAATGACTAACAAATGTCACCCTAACTAGAATCAAACTCAGAAAAGAGAAAATAACAGAAGTGGTGAAAATGTAAACAATATTTAAAGTAAATATTTTTCATCTTGCTGTGCCACTCAGTTTCTGAGAAATCCATCACACTGACTTAAGATACTGCTTGTATTCCAGCAGAACAATGCGTGTGCTGTTTCTATTGAGTATTTTCTGTTTAACTCATTCTTTCAGGTAGTCTTTTTTCAACCTCCCCAAAAATTAGCTATACAGACAGGTACTGTACCTTTAATGATGACATCACATAAGTTAGAAGGCAAAAGATCTGTCTGAAACGTACCATTGCTTCTTTTTCCTATTTCTTTCCACATTTTTGCAAACTCATTAAGAATGAAAGGTGATACAGGCATAAACCTAAGTACATTTATTTTCAATAGAGGCCGATTTTCACAGTTAGAGGAGAATATCAAAGCAGGACAGTAAACAGATTTGTTAAAAGTCTGAAAACCATCAATGTCACCTTCACCATCCACAGAATGGCCATGAGGATAATTATTCAGACACATTACTCAATCTTGCAGTTTATGACATCTGCCAAAATAGGTCAACAGTTGCATGCCCTCCCTGCTGTTTAGCACCTCTAGTGATGTCATCAACCCAGAAAAATCCTGTCTGCTATGAGTAAAAAGATTGAATAAATATATATGGTAAAATTCTGTTCTGGAAATCCTAATCTCATAGGCCAGCTGTGTTTTTTTAAAAGGGAGTTATTCCTCTCCACTGTCGCTACAAGCATGCTTAGTGAGAGGGATTGCATTTGAGTCAATGAGGCGATGCAATCAACTGGTTTTCCTTAGGTAGAAAACTTTGAATCCATTTGACGGTATGATCTGGCCAGTTTTTTTTTTTCTGTTTGTTTTTTTTTTTTTATAGAATAGAATAGAATAGAAAATCCCCATATTGTCCCACAATTGGGAAATTGTGGTTTTACAGCAGTAAAAATATTATAGGAAAAATGGCCACGAAAATATGGACCTTAAAAAATTTATAAGATGAAGATAATTGTCAGGTGAGTTTTTATTACCAATAAAGATATAGAACTGTTGTATCTGAGGTCAGCAGCTGCTGGGCTCCAGTTCTGCCTCAGACTCTAAAGGTGTCAGCAGAACACGTACGCCCAACTTTTCACAACAAATTCATGCAAAGACAAAAACAGAGCCAAGCTGCACTCACCTGTTCAAGCGCACTATGTGAAAAAAAATGCAGCAGGTTTAAAAAATGAAATAAAACACAATGAGGATAAATATCCTGCTTCCAGAGTCCCAACACCTGAGAAGGCTCGGCTCTCTTCGCTCCGCTCCGTTCGTCACATTGAAGGCAGCAGGGCGGCAGAAAGCCTCTAACTTTTCCTCAAAGTCCTTCAAAGTTGGCTTCAGCCGCAGCCTCTGGAGAAACGGTGATAATAACCTTGTTCTTTCAGCGTCTTTACAGCCCAGTGTGTTAGTGAGGGTCGGTGAGAGCCGTCCGGTTACCTGACTCCTCTGATTACTGCGAGGCCAGCCCTCCTCCTCCTCACACAACAGTCTGTTTCATGTTTCCTGTTATTCTCCCTCTGAAAACACACACAGGCAGCGCTAATAGGCTGACTGAAACTGATAGGATCAAACTTCTTTAAAAGCGCCGTTTCACAGTGAAATGATCAAACTAAATATTTATTCTCATTAGCATCTTCCAATTTAAAGGAAAAGCAACCTGATTTAGAATCTTTACGGCAATAAAACTGGAAAAAATTTACATTTATCATTTGATCCCTTTTTATTATCCAGGTATAAAATTGATATTTCATGAAAACGAATATTTGTCTTTTTAAAGGTATAATGAGGGGTGATCTTTTTCCGGTGGATCATAAAAGTAATTGGTCGTCCTAGTTGTCAATCAATCCGGTAGCGGTGTCAAAAGTACACACGTTTGTTACTGCAGTAGAAGTATAGATACTGCAGTTTAAAAAGTATCAACTTGACCTCTTTACTCAAGTAAAAGTAAAAAAGCATGTGCTCCAAAAACTACTTAAAGTATAAACGTATAAAGTAACCTTTAATAAAACAGCCAGATGCCACTATATGAATTAATAGCTCAATTTTTCACTATTTCTAAAAATTCTTTGAGACAGGGCCAAGTTGGTGTCTTGTTGGTTTCAGTCTCCGATACCCTCTCTCCTGTGTCCGACTTTTCAGACATTTCAACATCTTTTTCTGAATCCTAAATTGTAGCATGACATAGAAAATTAGGGTTTGCAGTTTGAAGAACACCTGCTTGCTTCTGATGACTTCCATCCAATGAGTGTTTGCATTATGACTCATCCAATTACACTAGTTTTCACTAGATGTGGATGGAGCCAATGATCTGCATTGGATGGAGCACATGACGTGAAATAAATATTTATAAACATTAAACCGAAGCCAAGAGTAACGAGTAACGTTTGTTTTTAAAATGTAAGGAATAAAAAGTACAGATACTTGTGTGAAAATGTAATGAGTAGAAGTCAGAAGTAGGAAGAAAAATAAGTAATGGAGTAAAGTATAGATACCTAAAAAGTGTACTTGAGTGCAGTAACAAAGTATTTGTACTTGGTTACTTGACACCTCTGATCTGGTGATGTGTTTAGTTAAGTCCATCCTACGTGCTAGTCTTTTTTCACCCATCTAGTTTTTGTTTTGGGAGCAGTGTGGTGTAGGCAAAACAGCTAGTTTTTATTTTATTATCAGTTATTTTACTTCCACTTTTGGAAAATCTTTAATACTTTATTCTGAGAGGGATAATCATGGTAAGACTAAATGGCTGAATGGGTACAAAAGCCAAAAAAGGTTGGGAAACACTACCTTATTGAAGCAAACTGAGGCAATTTAATGATACACTATATTGCCAAAAGTATTTGCTCACCTGCCTTGACTCACATATGAGCTTAAGTGACATCCCGTTCCTAATCCATAGGGTTCAATATGACGTCGGTCCACCCTTTGCAGCTAGAACAGCTTCAACTCTTCTGGGAAGGCTGTCCACAAGGTTTAGGAGTGTGTTTATGGGAATTTTTGACCATTCTTCCAGAAGCGCATTTGTGAGGTCGCACACTGATGTTGGACGAGAAGGCCTGGCTCTCAGTCTCCGCTCTAATTCATCCCAAAGGTGTTCTATCGGGTTGAGGTCAGGACTCTGTGCAGGCCAGTCAAGTTCATCCACACCAGACTCTGTCATCCATGTCTTTATGGACCTTGCTTTGTGCACTGGTGCACAGTCATGTTGGAAGAGGAAGGGGCCAGCTCCAAACTGTTCCCACAAAGTTGGGAGCATGGAATTGTCCAAAATGTCTTGGTATGCTGAAGCATTCAGAGTTCCTTTCACTGGAACTAAGGGGCCAAGCCCAGCTCCTGAAAAACAACCCCACACCATAATCCCCCCTCCACCAAACTTTACACTTGGCACAATGCAGTCAGACAAGTACCGTTCTCCTGGCAACCGCCAAACCCAGACCCGTCCATCAGATTGCCAGATGGAGAAGCGCGATTCGTCACTCCAGAGAACGCGTCTCCACTGCTCTAGAGTCCAGTGGCGGCGTGCTTTACACCACCGCATCCGACGCTTTGCATTGCACTTGGTGATGTATGGCTTGGATGCAGCTGCTCGCCCATGGAAACCCATTCCATGAAGCTCTCTGCGCACTGTTCTTGAGCTACATGAAGTTTGGAGGTCTGTAGTGATTGACTCTGCAGAAAGTTGGCGACCTCTTCGCACTATGCGCGTCAGCATCCGCTGACCCCGCTCCGTCAGTTTACGTGGCCTACCACTTCGTGGCTGAGTTGCTGTTGTTCCCAAACACTTCCATTTTCTTATAATACAGCTGACAGTTGACTGTGGAATATTTAGGAGCGAGGAAATTTCACGACTGGATTTGTTGCACAGGTGGCATCCTATCACAGTTCCACGCTGGAATTCACTGAGCTCCTGAGAGCGACCCATTCTTTCACAAATGTTTGTAAAAACAGTCTGCATGCCTAGGTGCTTGAATTTATACACCTGTGGCCATGGAAGTGATTGGAACACCTGATTCCAATAATTTGGATGGGTGAGCAAATACTTTTGGCAATATAGTGTACCTTGGGAAATCTGTGCTGGTACTCTGGGTTTACTGGATAACAAACTGAGTGGAGTTGAACTGGATACTCAATTAATACGCCGCAAAATTTGGTCTGTTTTCTTCTCATATTCCAATTACTTTAATTGTTATTTTTGTGGAGTTTGAAGCACAAATGATGAAAACATAAACAAATTAATATTGGAAATCCTTTAAGTTTCGGGCCCTATTCTATAATATATGAAAGTTTGAATTTTTCAATGGAATTATGGAAATCAAACAACTTTTTCATAATATTTTTTGGAAAATGGTCTGTATGGGCAATACTAGGAAGGTGAAGGTCATTTAAAGGGTTATCAATACGGCTACGCAAAGACACATAAAGTTTACCTTCCATCTTTGGATTACATTAAAATGGGAGCTGAAAACAATGGAATCATATCCAGGGACAATAAAATGAAATCAGAGGTACGATGATGAGGTGTGTATCTGCAATAAAGCTTTACGATTACTTCTGCTATGTGTTCAGCGCCTTTTTTGCTCACTATGTATTTGGATAAGACAAAGTCATAGAGAGACCTGAAGAAAACCTCCAGGTAAAAACTGGATCACCTGAAGATTTTGTTTTTATGATGGCAGTAGGGGCCAGCTTTTTATTTCCCTCATTTAGAAAGTCTGTCCTAGTTTTTAAACTTGAATCATCCTATATTATGTAAAACGTTGAAACCAACTTCTTGTTTTAAGCTATTACTGGAACTGCAGACAGAATGAAAGAGAGATTCAGAAAATGAGTGGACAGTTTTGTCTAGGCCTATGCTGTAATTTCTGCTGTGACACGGAAAACTGAGAGTTTTTTCTGAAGATGTGCTTTTACATCTTGAAATGAGAGATAGCGAGTGCAATGGACCGTCAGTTTATTGTAACAAGGAGTCAGGTCATGATGCAATGGGTTTGTTTTGCATAAACTGCCACTCTCAGTGCGCTGTGTTTTCTTTGCAGTGCAGGGAGAGTAGCAGTTTCCTGATGACTGTTGATAAATGCTATATGAATCTGAACCGAAACCATGCAGATCAAAGAAAGTTGCACAAAGCAACAAAGGTACATGGAGCACATTGACTCAGTATGTTTCAGAAGTCTGGTCGATGTACATGGGGCTCAATCTAAGAACTACTTTAATTTGCTTTCAGCCCCAGTGAGTTGATACAGCAGCACATGACAGTTTTTTTTTTGTTTTTTTAAGTACCGTATGTCGCTACAAGAGATGTACACATATACAGATATTTTCTTTCCCCACTTTTTGCTAAATAGCTCACATCGTACACACTGTACTCCTGATTATTTACATTTTGGCCAAATATTTATATTTAGATTAATTTCTGGACTTTGAATAGGCCATTCCATTCCAGCTCTGCTTTATAACAATTATTGTTTTTTCTGCATTGCCCTGTTGTCAGTACAAACCATCTTCCCTTTATTTCTCACCAGGGTTCATGTCCCTGTGAATAAAAAGCATTTCTTTAGAAAGATCCCGTCTCCATCATCCTCCATCACAATCCAGGTATATCTGGCCATGGTTACTGAGGTCAGCCACAGCTGGATTAATCACTTTATTCCGTAGAAAAAGACAGGAAACATAAGAGCTGCCTTAAGTACAGGAAGTATTGGAGTTGTGCATGGAGCCATGGTGCTTGGACAGTGATGGGACTAACGGCGTTCAAAGTAACGGCGTTACTAACGGCGTTACTTTGTTTCAGTAACGAGTAATCTAACTAATTACTTTGACTGTAACTATAACGCAGTACCATTGCAGACACCCCGTTACTGCGCGTTACTCAGGTCACACAATGAACCTTTTTTCATGATAGGACTCGTGCGCGCCTTGTCATGAGAGAGGGGAGGATGAGAATGGCTGATGTATAGTGAGATTCCGTCTGTCAGTTTGGTAGGTGGGTGTTTCTGCTGGTGGGTGTTAACGTACAGCACACACAGAGAGATGGAGAGTGAGGAGGACTCCAGCAGCAAAACAGCGTTTTCCTGATGGAAATACCGGTGTTACTTCAAGCTGCGTTTCCCCATCACATACAGTTTCCCCTGCATCTCCGCACAGCGCAGGCGGCACGATTCACCGGGCAAGCGACAGGAAACGCGCATTCTTGCTAAAGGCGCGCAACAGCCGCCCTGTGCTCGCGCCACAGGAGAACTATGGAGAGCATGAACGATCAAATGATAGCCTATATGGAGAAAGGGAGAAACCTGGATGGATGGATGGATGGATGGATGGATGGATGGATGGATGGATGGATGGATGGATGGATGGATGGATGGATGGATGGATGGATGGATGGATGGATGGATGGATGGATGGATGGATGGATGGATGGATGGATGGATACTCTGCCTTTTCAACCTACTGTATTTTTTATTTTAAACATTATTTGATGGCCTTTGTGGCAGGGATGGAGATCCATATTTTAT